ACTTCATATTACTTGGTTCTACAATCAACACCAATGGAAACAGCAGTCAAGACATCAAAAGATGTATTGCATTGGGCAAATCTGCTGCAAAAGATCTCTTTCAAGCACTGAAGAGCAATGATAGCTTCTTGAAGACTAAGATGCGCCTAAACGAAGACATGGCATTTTCAATTGCCTTATATGCATGTGAGAGCTAGACAATGAATAAGGAAGACCGAAGAAGAGTTGATGCTTTTGAGTTGCGGTGTTGGTAAAGAATGCTGAAAGTACCATGGACTGCTAAAAGAACTAACAAATCTGTCTTGGAGGAAGTGCAACTGGAATGCTCCTTGGAAGCAAAGATGGCCAGACTTCATCTCACCTACTTTGGTCATGTTGTCAGAAGGGACCATTCTCTGGAGAAGGATGTCATGCTTGGTTAAGTGTAGGGTCAACAAAACAGGGGAAGGCCCTCAAAGAGATGGACTGACACAATGGCTGCAGCGATGGGCTCAGGGATAGTAGGGATCGTGAGGCTGGCACAGGACCAGGCAGTGTTTTGTTCTATTATAAATATGGTCACTGAGAGTTGGAGATGACTTGATGGCCCATAACAACAACTACGTATGCATGTAAGATCTAGACAATGAACAAGGAAGACCGAAGAAGAGTTGATGCTTTTGAGTTGTGGTTTGGTGAAGAATACTGAAAGTACCATGAACTTCCTAAAGAACTAACAAATCTGTCCTGGAGGAAGTGCAGCCAGAATGTCCCTTGAAGTGAGAATGGCCAATCTTCATCTCACCTACTCTGGTCATGCTGTCAGAAGGGACCATTACCTGGAGAAAGATATCATGCTTGGTAAAGTGGTACATCAATGAAAAAGGGAAGGCCCTCAACAAGATGGACTGACACAGTGGCTGCAACGATGGGCTCATGTATAGCAAGAATTGTGAGGCTCGCAAAAGACCGGGCAGTGTTTCATTCTGCCCAGGGTCTGCATAGGGTCACTATGACTTGGAGCCAACTCAGTGGCACCTAACAACAACAACAACAACGTATATTTACAGAAGAATGTAGATGACAGAAGAAAGATGGGTAGCACTGAAAAGAGATCAACAAAACTTATTTAGTCTGAACAGCAAAAGATTTTTTGAAAAAAGAAGAAAGTTTCATGGCCCTATGGTACACTATCAAAACATGTAATATATGTATAATTGGAGACCCAGAAGTAGAAGCTGGAACTGAACACATCTTTAAACACAGGATGGCCCAAACCTTCCCAACATGCAATCAAGATGTATTATTATTATTGCTGGTGATTGGAATGTGAAAGTTGAAAACAAAGAAAAGTAACGTAATTGGAAAATGTAGCCTTGGTGATAGAAATGACACAGCAATCGCATGACAGAATTTTGCAAGACTTACTCATTGCAAATACCTTTTTTCAAAAACACAAATAGCGATAATACATGTGGCTCTCGCTAGATGGAATGCACAAAAATCAAATCAAAAGACAATGGTAAAGCTCAGTATCATCAGTCAAAATAAGGCCAGGAGCTGACTGTGGAACAGACTATCAATTGCTCTTATGCAAATTCAAGTTGAACATGAAGAAAATTAAAACAAGTGCATGAGAGCCAAAATATGACCCTGCATATATCCCATCTGAATTTAGAAACCACCTGTGGTGGTGAAGTTGTGTGCCAACTTGGCTAGGCCTGGTTGAGTGGCTGGGCAGCTGGATGTAGCATTCCCCATGATGAGACTGGTAATCAAGTCCATGGTGGGATCTACTGGAACAGCTGAGTAGCTGCTTTGGGTATGTGGTCTGCTCCCTGTATTTAAGAAATAGCTTTGGGAATGGTCTCTAGCTTCTGGCATGCTTGAACCCTGCATGTAGCCATGTCATTGTTCAGCAACCTGCCATGCTCTGCCAACCTTGGGACTTACAATGGACTTGAATTAATGGCCTGCCGTATGGTTTGATAACATCGGGACTGTGCCATTTTATTTGTCGACCTTGGGCTTGTTAGCCTCAACAGTCAGCAGCTGCTTGAGTGAAGAGATGCTTCTAGCTTCAGTGGGCTGGAAGCAAGAGGCAGAGCTGAAGTCCAAGGTTGAAGGGCTTTCACACAGCCCTTAGAGTCTGGAACTTTGGACTCGGACCTCTAGCCTCCCGAACTGTAAGAGAGTAAATTCTTGTTTGTTCAAGTCATTCCATTTGTGGTACATTCTTGTCAGAGTGGCACTGGGTAACCAGAACACCATCTGAAGAAGAGGTTTGATACACTGAACACCAATGAATGAAGACCAGACAAACTGTGGGATAACATCAAGAACATCATACATGAAGAAAGCAAAAGGTCATTAAAACGACAGGAAAGGAAATGACACCAATCCTACTCAAACTATTCTAAAACATAGAAAAAGATGGAATCCTCCCTAATTCATCTTATGAAGAAAATTAAAACAAGTGCATGAGAGCCAAAATATGAAACAAGCATAGCCTTGATACCAAAACCAGGCAAAGACATCACTCAAAAGGAAAACTACAGACCAATGTTCCTCGTGGATATAGATGCAAAAATCTTCAACAAAATCCTAGCCAATAGACTCCAACAACATATCAAGAAAATAATTCATTATGACCAAGTGGGGTTCATATCAGGTATGCAGGGATAGTTCAACATTAGAAAAACAATCAACATCATCCACCACATAAATAAA